TGTGTCGCCCTGTGCTTTTCTTTTTAGGAAAAACCGGTCCCCCCTATTCTAAACGAGGAGTCAAGAGCCCGGTTGTTTTCGCCTTTCTCGTTTAATTAATTAACCGGTCCCCTGTTTTTACTTATATTAAAGCGAGGGGGTCAAAATGTTCGGATTTTATGATTTGAAGTTATTTTCACCGACACGCCGGTACGTTAAAGTTTGAATTTGTACGTTCCGCCTCGTTTATTTACTTTTCTGTTCGAAATGTATCGCGCGCTTAGCATGTGAATCGTGACCGTCTGAAATTTTTATTTTTTCTTCTTCTGAAAAATACCAAACCGAAGTAGCTGATAAAATAGTAGAGAGACGGTGAGTATTGTTGGGAATATACGCCGTCTAAAAATGGGTGGCGTATTTATTTCGCTCTGAGATGGTGATGCTCCTGAAACGCGTGCTTAAATTGGTTGGAACGAAAGAGAAGCTTCTTACTCTTCTCCTCCTCCTCCTAGTAACTGACGAGCTAAGCAAGGAAGCGGGCGACAGCGGAGAGGGGACACGTTGTCACGTGCGCTTTTTCCTCATCGCGGTTGGTTTTTATCTCTGGCTTCTTCTGGGCACGCGATAACGAGCGCTGACACAGAAATACCTGAATATGTTCCTTGGAATTTAAAGCGTACGCTGTCCTTGTCTTATTTGGTTGTGTATTTTGATACTTTTTTTTTTGCATCTTTGGCTTCTGAAGTTCTTGTATTGATACTTTTTAGTATATCTTTGATTGACTAGCTTCGTACTCTACTCGGAACAGAAAAAATATTTTCAGACTAGTTTACGCAGGGTAAATTCGCAAGAACCCCTGTAACTTTTCGAGGGGTTCGCAGAAAACTACCATGTAACTGTCGAAATCAGGGAAAACAGCTTAAATTCTTTCAACTGAATCACCCAGCCCAACATCGTCAACTCTAAAATTGTCACGGGCGAAACTACAGCCTAAAAGACTCCTAAATCCAAATCATCTCCTCTCCATCCTTTTAAAGAAGGGTTATTAGCATATAAAGCCTCACAGTTTGTATCTCGCCCAGCTGAATGCCATATCAAATATCAGAAACAAAACAGTGATAGCGACCTAAATACCAGTCGCCCCCCCTCAGCGAGGAGTCACACAACTGAAACCTGAAAAAGATTCTAGCTTAATAATTAATTTATGGCCATCCTTGCATTAAAATCATAATAATAAGTGTAACATATACAGCTTCTATCATATAAACATGCTCATAGTAACATATACAGCTTATGATTGTAAATATCACGATAAGATGTGTACCCTTGCGCTAGGTTCTAGCCTCTTTGATGACTACATTTTATACAATATCAGGTCATTTGTTCTAACTGCTGAGAATGATGTTGTTGTTGGGGGGGTGGGGGGGGGGGGGGGCGGGGGGGGGGGGGCGTGGGGGGCGGGGGTGGGGGGGGGCGAGGGGGGGGGAAGTAAAAATGCAGATTGGCTTTGGTAGGAAAAATTGACCTGATATTGTATAAAAATGTAGTCATCAAAGAGGCTAGAACCTAGCGCAAGGGGTACAACATGCTTATCGTGATATTTACAATCATGAAGCTGTATAGTTACTATGAGCATTTTATATGATAGAAGCGTATATGTTACGACGTTATTATTATGATTTGTAATGCAGAAGCGATGGCAATAAATTAATTATTAGCTAGAACTTTTCAGGTTTCAGTTGTGTGACTTCCTCAGCTTAGGGGGGGCGACTGCGTATTTAGGTCGCTATCACTGTTTTGTTTCTGATATTTGATATGCATTCAGCGCTGGGCGAGATACAAACTGTGAGGCTTTATATGCCTATAACCGCTTCTTTAAAGGGATGGAGAGCGAGATGATTTGGATTTAGGAGTCTTTTTAGGCCTGTAGTTTCGCCCGTTGACAATTTTAGAGTTGACGATGTTGGGCTGGGTGATTCAGTTGAAAGGAAATTTAAGCTGTTTTCCTGATATTTCGACAGTTACATGTAGTTTTCTTGGCGAACCGCCTCGAAAATTACAGGGTTCCTTGCGAATTTTACCCTGCGTAAACTAGTCTGAAAATATTTTTCTTGTTTTCTTCGAGTAAGTACGAAGCTAGTCAATCAAAGATTATACTAAAAAGAAAGTATCAATACAAGAAGCTTCAGAAGCAAAGATGCAAAAAAAACAAGATACAAAATACACAACCAAATAAACAAGACAGCGTAGCGCTTTAAATTTCCAAGGAACATATTCAAGGTATTTCTGTAAGCGCTTCGTTATCGCGTGCCCAGAAGAAAGACCAGAGATAAAAACCTAACCGCGATGAGAAAAGCGCACGTGACAACGTGCTCCCGTCTCCGCTTCGCCGTTACCTGCTTAGCTCGTCAGTTACTAGGAGGAGGAGGAGAAGAGTAAGAAAGCTTCTCTTCGTTCCAACCAATTTAAAGCACGCGTTCAGGAGCATCACCATCTCAGAGCCGAAATAAATACGCCTCACACCATTTTTTAACGGCGTATATCCCAACAATTACTCACGTCTTCACTATTTTTATCAGCTACTGTCGGTTTGTATTTCTTAGAGAAGAAAAATAAAAATTTCCGACGGCTCACGATTCACAATGCTAAGGCCGCCGAATACATTTCGGAACAGAAAAGTAAATAAAACGCAGGCGGATACGTACAAATTCAAACTTTAACCGTACCGGGTGTCTAGTGTCGCGTGAAAATAAGCTGTCAAATCATAAAATCCGAACATTTTGACCCCCTCGCTTTAATATCAGTAAACACAGGCGGACCGGTTTTAATTAATTAAACGAGAAAGAGCGGAAAAAACCGGGCTCTTGACTCCTCGTTATAAATAGGGGGACGTTTTTCCCTAAAAGAAAGGCACAGGGCCGGAAGCACGAGCGCGCCGTCAGCCGTTAAGCGCTTACCCTGTTCCGTTCCTTTTCTCGCATACCGCGTGGGCCCGTTTGGCGGTCAACCCTCTCTTCCTCCCCCAACCCTTTCCTTGAAACCATCGCGGCCGGCGTTCACACGCCGCCACGCTGCCTCTCGTAAATTTAAACTCCCCCCGACCCCAAAATTTATTCAACTCGAGGCTCGCAGAGCTCAATCGACTCAGCGGTAGTAACTGCTGAGAATGTTGTTGTTGTTGGGGGGGGGGCGGGGGGGGGAAGTAAAATGCAGATTGGCTTTGGTAGGAACAAATGACCTGATATTGTATAAAATGTAGTCATCAAAGAGGCTAGAACCTAGCGCAAGGGTACACATCTTATCGTGATATTTACAATCATAAGCTGTATATGTTACTATGAGCATTTTATATGAATAGAAGCGTATATGTTACGACTTATTATTATGCATTTGTAATGCAGAAGCGATGCCAATAAATAATTATTAGCTAGAACTTTTCAGGTTTCAGTGTGTGACTTCCTCAGCTGTAGGGGGGCGACTGGTAATTATAGGCGCTATCACTGTTTTGTTTCTGATATTTGATATGCATTCACGCTGGGCGAGATACAAACTGTGAGCGCTTTATATGCCTATACCCGCTTCATTTAAAGGAGGAGAGCAGATGATTTGGATTTAGGATCTTTTAGGCCTGTAGTTTCCGCCGTGACAATTTTAGAGTTGACGATGTGGGCTGGGTGATTCAGTTGAAAGGAATTTAGCTGTTTTCCCTGATATTTCGACAGTTCATGTAGTTTTCTTGCGAACCGCCTCGAAAATTACAGGGTTCCTTGCGAATTTACCCTGCGTAAACTAGTCTGAAAATATTTTTTCTTTGTTTTTTCCGAGTAGAGTACGAAGCTAGTCAATCAAAGATATACTAAAAAAAATATCATACAAGAAGCTTCAGAAGCCAAGATGCAAAAAAACAAGGTCAAATTACACAACCAAAATAAGACAAGGACAGGCGTACGCTTAAATTCCAAGGAACATATTCAGGTATTTGCTGTGTCAAGCGCCTCGTTACGCGTGCCCAGAAGAAAGCCGACCAGAGATAAAAACCTAACCGCCGATGAGGAAAAGCGCACGTGACAACGTGTTCCCGTCTCCGCTGTCGGCCGCTTACCTGCTTAGCTCGTCAGTTAGCTAGGAGGAGGAGGATGAAGAGTAAGAAAGCTTCTCTTTCGTTTCCAACCAATTTAAAGCACGCGTTTCAGGAGCATCACCATCTCAGAGCGAAATAAATACAGCCCACCCATTTTTAACGGCGTATCATCCCAACAATTACTCACCGTCTTTCACTATTTTATCAGCCTACTGTCGGTTGGTATTTTTCAGAGTAAGAAAAATAAAAATTTCAGACGGTCACGATTCACATGCTAAGGCCGCCGAAATACATTTCGGAACAGAAAAGTAATAAAACGCGAGCAGGAACGTACAAATTCAAAACGTTTAACGTACCGGTGGGGTCTGTGTGCGTGAAAATAACTCAAATCATAAATTCCGAACATTTTGACCCCTCGCTTTAATATCAGTAAAAACAGGCGACCGGCTTAATTAATTAAACGAGAAAGGCGGAAAACAACCGGGCTCTTGACTCCTCTTTAGAATAGGGGGACGGTTTTTCCTAAAAAGAAAAGGCACAGGGCCGGAACACAGAGGCGCCGTCAGCCGTTACCGCTTCACCCTGTTCGCGTTCCTTTTCTCGCGTACCCGCGTGGGCCCGTTTGGCGGTCAACCCTCTCTTCACCGTCGCCCCACCCCTTTCCTTCGAAACCATCGCGGCCGCGTTCACGACGCCCGCCACGCTGCCCTCCGTATTTAAACCCCCCCCGACCCACAAATTTATTCAAACTCGAGGCTCGAGAGCTCAACGACTCAGCGGTAG